CCCCCCCCCCCCCCCCCCCCCCCTTTCCTTTTTCTAATCTTTGGATATGTTTTTATGTTTTTCCAGATTTATAAAGTTCAACTACCTTTTCTCGCAGGTCCTTTGACTGTTCTTTTGCTTTCCCCATGGCTCAGTTTTCAGCAGACCTGGATGAAAATGTGCAGGGATCTCTCAAGAGCTAAGAAACTCATTGGCTATTTATACACGGACACTAATTACAATCTAACATGTCACAGATGGGGAAACTTACCCTTAATACCATTTAAACCTGTGTGTGTATATTATCAGGCCAAACATTCAAGGGTATTTAACCTTTTGATCAGGGTGATTTCAGTTATCATTATGATTTAAAAAGGGCACACACAATTATGTGATGATAAATAGCTTCACGTGACCACTATCCTTAAATAACAGAAAGGTTTTCTGCATGATCTGTCAAAATAATGGCCAATATTTCATAAATTCTGCCAGGGTATGTAAACTTATGGAAACAAATGTATATGCAGCGAAGGACTTACCCTTTTTTTTCAGCTGAGACCAAGAATTGTTTATGATGTGATTTTGTCTTTCTCCTGATCAGGGATCAGTTTGGGTGTTGTGGTCAGAGAGTATACATCCCTCTCCCACCTTCACAAGCAGTATTTCGGCTTCCCAGGAGAGATCCTCATGAGAATGCTCAAGCTTGTCATCCTCCCACTCATCATTTCAAGCATGATAACAGGTAACTTGAACATAATTAACATAAATATGATATATATATATACAATATATCATCAGTAATATAACTAAATATTCCTCTGTGTTCATTTTTAACTAGTTTAGGTCAACAAACCTGAACCTAAAATATTTGTTTTAGTTTTAAGATACATTTACATCTGCTACTTTCATTTAGACACTTTTATGATTACTACCTACTGGCCTACTATCTTAGTGAAGCCTCTAGGCTTAAAGGTGTAGCATTTAGGGGAACTATTGGCAGAATTAGAATATGATATTGATGTAAGTAGGTTTTCTTTATTGTATATTCCCTGAAAAAAACTTGTATTTTTTGTTAGATTAGAATGAACCATTTATATCTACATACAGAGTGAGTCCGCCATGTTGCACCACCATGTTTCTACAGTAGCCCAGGATGCAAACCAAACACTGGCTCTAGAAAGAGCCATTTGCGTTTTTGCGTCGTCCACTGTAGTTCTCCATGCTTGGCCCACGGGACACGTTTCCGTTGGTTGCAGTCTGTACTTATTACCTGTCTACACCATGAATGCTAGCTGAGGTTTTAAAGGCCCAATCTGTAAAAGTTTTGACCAGATAAATTGATTGTATATTCACACGCAAATGTCAAGATTTTGATTTAGAGCTCGATCACATCCGACTTCAAAATCTTCATTCTTTTATTTTGATACCTGAGAACAAGCTTTTGGTTTGGAACTCAATTCAATATTGTGCTTTTTGTCCAAAAGGTGTTGCAGCCCTGGACTCTGAGGTATCAGGAAAAATAGGTCTGCGAGCTGTTATTTATTACTTCTCAACAACCATCATTGCAGTTATTCTTGGTGAGTTGATTATTATTTTCTCCCCTTGTCCAGTTGTCAGTAGTTGCTTTACAGTTAAGTCACTCAAATGGTGTTGTGTAAAAACGGTGGTTGATATTAAACCTGAATGAGTCAAGTTGTTATCATTTGCAGGGATTATTTTGGTGATGACTATCAAACCGGGAGTCTCTCAGACAGCTGAACACATTGACAGAGCCGGGACAACGCCCAACGTCACAACAGTTGACACTCTCTTGGACCTCCTCAGGTGACCTCCCAGCCATGTGATACAATTTTCTCATAACCATGAAATACCCAGTCATTCAGATGTTAAAGTGACAGAGACTGCAACTGTAGGTCTTTCCCTGATAAGGTTTATCACTTCAGTTCTGCCTTTATGCTTCAAATGAGCTAAACTCACATTATGAACAAGTATAATCCCATGTTGATGTTGTTCAGCTACATCAAAAGTCTTTATACTTGTTTTGAATGTCCACAGTCGAAGGCGGGGTGAAGAGCCTGCCACTAAACCCTTCTCCTAATGCCTACCACCTCTTTGTGTCTTGTGCAACTTGAAAAGGTTTCGCCAACTCAAAAACTTTGGTCAACTTGAAAATTGATATAAACTTTTAAAATTATCTATTACAGTTTATCAATTTAACTCGGAATGTTACGCCGGCTCAGAAATTAACATGGAACATGGAAAGTTGACTCGGCTGTCAGGAAGGGGTTTTCAGCTGCTGTCAGCTGATCCAAGTACTTTGGTAGCATAACGTGGCCTTTAATTCCAGAGCTCTGAGGTTCACATATCCAACCTTCAGTTTCTTGAATGTATGACAATTGATTTAGTTGAAAACAATGGACAGCATGACATGAATATCCAATTCCCACTACATTTTGTTGACAAAATCCTAGCTTCCCTGGAGTAGGTATCTGCAAATTTTAATGTTTAACTCCTTTGCCTCAATAAATTACATTTACATCCTCCTAATTGATATGAATCGTTTTGACCAACATAAAGAGTAGTTGCAACGACCCATCTGTCAGTGTAATACACATCATTAGTCAGTGTCCGTCATTCACCCCCAATCTTGTTTTTCTACAGAAACATGTTCCCCGAAAATCTGGTGCAGGCTTGTTTTCAGCAGGTAAGAGGATTTGCACATCCATCATTCATCTCTGTTCCACTTTCTACCCATGTTTATCATTTAAACCTACATCAGGGTGTGGTGAGTATAAGTCTGTAGCCATGTTGAAGTAACTCTGATGTTGTGAAATTTGACCACACTCTAGTACAAGACCAAGCGCAAAGAGCTGGAGCCTCCAAACGTTTCAGCCAACACCACCACAATTCCACCTCTCGCCACTACTATCATGTCGGTGGTAGAGGTAGGTGTGCACATTACTCTATTCTGTTCATCTAGAGCACCAGAGTTCACAAGTATCTTCTGTTGGGAACATCCATTAACATGTCTGTTGGGGTTTTGGTCTTTACATACGACGGTGTGTCCATGTGGATCCATGTGCTGCACTTTACGTGTCATGTTTCTGCACCTGGCAACCCGCGTCTGATCTAAATGCATCAGAAGTAAAGTAGCCATGGTCACTGGGCTGTGATCCTGTAGGAAACATTTGCACAGCTCATCAATGGCTCTTTAGAGAAAGCTAATGTGGTTGTGAAAGCAGCTTACTGACCTGCTCTTGGTTAGCTGAATGAATAACCTCCTTGTGTCCTCTCTTGGCAGAACATAACCAAGGAATATAAAATCGTTGGGACGTATTCGGATGGAATCAACGTATTGGGGCTTATCGTGTTCTGTGTTGCTTTTGGCCTTGTCATTGGGAAGATGGGCGAAAGAGGACGTATCCTCCTGGAATTTTTTGATGCGCTGAACGAAGCAACCATGAAACTGGTCCAGATCATTATGTGGTATGTATGAAAGACTGATCTACAGTTATGGGTTTCCAGACGGACGACATTTAGTGACATGGTGGACTCATGATCTTACTTTCAGTTTTTAAAACTTGGACGACTATACAAATGAACCTTTGAGTACTTTTGAAGAATGAATCCTGATCTGCAAAAAAAGGCTTGAAACCTCTTGATCTTGGAAACGATTTGGTTTAACAAAGATTTGGTTTAACAAAACCAAATCTTAACTCAAGTTCCACTTACTAGCATTTCCAAGGGTTTCTATTGAATCTTGTGATCTTTCTCAGCCTGCAAATTCCATGTGCTAAGACAATGAGTTTAAGAAAAAGCAACAACTAGTCTGGTTGGTGAGATGAAGAGCAAATATAAACTCAAACACAATATCTGTTTTTTTCCTCTTATTCCTGAAGATTATCTAAACAAAAACCCTTAATGTACGGCTGCCACACATGAGACAATAGAGAACATTTTTTTTACTTTACATCTTATACTTGTAAATCCTTCTTTGTTACAAAAAGCTGCATCTAGCAAGGTCTAAACACAGGATACAGCCCTTTCTGGGGTGCTGTTTCCCATAACTCCTAGCATGACCGCAGTCTTGGTAACAGAAGTCATACAAATTGAAGTACTTATTACTCTTAAGTAATACTCTATTATGTACTGTTATGTATATACATTTTTGCAGTGGCGGGCCGTGCATTTTATACCTGGGCCTTCACTGCTGTCCTGCAGCTGAAACACAGCTACGGTTATTATTTGTTTCGTGTCAAAATGAAGCCAACACCTATAGATAGAGTGCGTCTCCTCTCTGCTCTGACTGCAGCTGGGACTGCTGCGCGAGGCGTCTGTGTGTGCTTTGGGGCGGCGGAGGGCTCACGGCAGCTCCCGCTGCTCGTTCACGACAGTGCAGAACGTATGTGCTTTCACGAGTCAAAACACCACAAAAGTCTCCAACAACACCAGAACAAGTCGCTAGATTTGTCACTAGTAGCTTTTGACAAAAAAAGTCGCCATGAGGGTTTGGAAAGTCGCCAGATTTAGCGAGAGAATCGCCAAGTTGGCAAAATGTGTCCCCAGAGCAAAGTTGGATGTAACAATGGTTCCTATCACATATAAAACCAAACAAAAATCCATCTTCATAAAACAAGTTGTCGTAATAATAATATATAAACAAGCATATAAAGCTACTGCAGATGTAAAAACAAAAGCAGTTGACTTACCAGAGCTGCTGTTCACTATTTAAAGACAAAGTCCATCCTCCTTTCTTTGTTAACAAAGAGTTTAATCTCACGGTTGTTCAGTACATCCGTGTGTTTTAGTTCCAGTAAGAAGTCCTTCTTCATTCATGGACGCCAGTGAAGACAGTCGAGCCTCCCCAGTTGTATTTCTTGAATACGTTTTAATGCGTTTGAGGGATGAAAATGTCCGCTCGACAGAGACAGCAAATATTGGGATTGTCACTGCCCAACATGTCAGGCTAGCTCACTGACCAATCACGTATGGCTCGGCCAGCTAGCAGGCTCTGACACTTCAAAGAATACACCCAACATGTCAAACTAAAGATCTGATTGGTTGAAGACTATGACAATCAACAATATCGTCCCCATTCACTTAAACTGCACATGGATTCACTTGTGAGTCTGCAGGCCTCGGGCCTCTCTTCTTACCTAGAGACACAGAGGTGAGATCTGATTGGATAAAAGCTCTACTTAAAACAAGTTGCACTGGAAGCAGAGCAACTGAGGAAGACAGGAGCTGTGCAATCAGAACATAAGATAATGGGAACAAAAATTATAATACATGTAGTGTATTTAAGGAAAAATATTAAATCATAAAATAGCTATAACTTTGTGATTCTGTAGAGATTCAGCAGAGAAGGCTTTGCTGGCCCTGACAGCCCACCACTGCTTTTTTGCAGGTTCAAGCACATGAGCATTTTAATACAACAATTCCCATAACACACAGCAGTCATTTTTATCAGACTTACACAAAATATGGCACGATACAAGCTATTTGGGGTAGCATTTAGCTGCTTTCAATAAAACTGTGGTGTTGCTGTAGATTTAGTACTTTCCAATGAAGAGTAGCTTGTAGCTTCACCAGCTACAGGCTCAAAGTAGCTCCCCCAACACTGTCTATTACTGACTGCTTGTCAGGCTAGAAAACATATTGGCAACACTGTTCTGTCTTCCCACAGGGATTTTGTGGGATAACATATTTGGATTTGACAGTCAAAAAGAAAAATAGAGAAAATTCTTCATAAATTGCATTTAAAATTGCCAAAACCGAACCAGTTGGAAGCTTGATCAAATAAGCACAATAAAACTGCCCAATTTTGCATCTATTTTGCTTTATTTGTCTTACCAACTGTTTTTATCCTAAATATTTTAATTTAACTATCATAGAACACTAAGAAAATCAGCATATATTCATATTTGAGAAGCTAGAACCTGTGATTTAGTCAAGTTAGCATTTTAGCTGTTGCACACTATTTGCTATAATGTTATATTCTTTACACCAAATGACTCCAACTTGATGTGTTTTTTCAGCTACATGCCAATAGGGATCCTGTTCCTAATTGCAGCTAAGATCATCGAGGTTGAAGACTGGGAGATCTTCAAGAAGATGGGTCTTTATATGATGACGGTGCTGAGTGGGTAAGCTGTCCCATTACTCTGTATCCGCCTGTTCCAGACACCGGGATTTATGGTTGACATTTGGGCCGATTCACCCTCCAGTGATACAGTAAAAGCTGAGCTCTGTGTAGGCACTGATAAGGGCCAAGGACATTTAAAACTGCTCAACCTGCAGCTGCAGTAATGAAAGCTTCGCCCATGCCACTAAATCTAAATGACACCATTTAAGACTGTACAGTAAATCCCCTCCAGTTAGGTCACAGGGTCGGTCCAAGGCTCCCAGTGCTCCTGTGACGATATTTGCACGCAACGGTCACACTTTGTTGTAATGTTCTGAATACAGCTTTTATAGCCAATGAAAAAACTTTTTCATGCATTATTACTTTATGACAATGAATCACATCGAATGTAATAAAGAGTTTTTGACATGATCAACAGAGGAAGTCTCTTTAATGTCAAAGTAAAGTCAAATCTCTCTAAATGTGCATTTTTATAAGAGCTGTAGCTGAAATCTATTTAAAAGTCAGTTCAGTTAACTGACATTTGAACTCATTCTCCCTTTATTCAATGGCCTTCATCATTGTTTATCTTGATCACAACATTCATTCTGGAAGCAAGGAGTGAAGTGAGTTAGTGATTTCAAACTACGGACAGTGATCACATCACAAACATGAAATGTAATTGGCAATTTTTTTATGCAGTAAAATATTTACACCCACTGTGATGCAACATCATGATGATGATGTAATGATTTCTAACTTGGACACCTCACTTAATCACATGTGTGAAGAGTCATTATTGGTAAATAGTTGTTTCCCAATAATTACTAGAATTGTGCATTGTACAACTTGCCACTGTTGCTCAAAGTTTAGTTTTGAGGAACATCATTGTATTGCAGCTTTTCACTGGGTTTGAATAAAATGAAATGGAGAAATTGTTCAGGCCCCGAGCTTCCATGGTTGTCAGCCTGCTGATAAAAAGAGCTTACACTTTCTACCTGGTATTACTGACTTCTTTTAGCCTTGACTTTGTCTTTGAGCATAGGGCAAGTTGAAGTACATTTTTGAAGTGCATTAAGACTGGAAGCAACCCAAATAGTTGGCATTAAAAAATACACCTACCAACAATTGTAATGAGCACTAATTGAAAACTTGCATCTAATTAGTTTGGGAATAAACACCAATTGTTGGTAGGCATATATTTTATAATTTTGAAAGAACCAAGCTAGCTGTTTAACCCTGCTTCCAGTTTTTTCTAAGCTAGGTTAACTACATACTCTCTAAAAGAAGGCAAGATTACTCCTAAAAACTATTCCTTTAACAATTGCCCCATTGGGCTGTTTAAGCCCAGGCAGCAGTAAACTTTGTTTCATGTATGAATGTAAATGATAGTAAACACTATTTTAAGAAGGTATGGGGTTAAAAACACAACCTGGTCTTTATATTTGTATCAAAAATAACATGTGACAGTATAAGAGTTGTGGCACAGAATCCAAAAGGCATATGAAAGTGTATCTAGTTCTGTAACACAGAATATAGAATATTGTTCTATAATAATGTCTGTTTTGTCTCTCAGTCTAGCTATCCACGCCACTATCTGTCTGCCACTGATCTTCTTTGTCATTGTGAGGAAGAACCCGTATACATTCACATTGGGAATGGCTCAGGCCCTGGTGACAGCACTCATGATCTCCTCCAGGTCAGAATTCACTGTGTCCCTCACTCTGCTTGGAAAGCCAAATCAAACATTTTCATATTTGGGAACAAAAAACCATTGTATGCCAACAGCTGTCTTGTCTTTCAGCTCTGCCACCCTGCCCGTCACCTTCCGATGTGCCGAGGAGAACAATCACATTGACAAGCGGATCACCCGTTTCGTCCTCCCAGTGGGTGCCACCATTAACATGGATGGGACAGCGCTATATGAAGCAGTGGCCGCCATCTTCATCGCCCAGCTTAATGACTACGCTCTGGATGTGGGCCAGATTGTTACTATCAGGTACATCATAGTTACTAAGGGGCACATCTAACTGCAGGCTATAAAAGACCATAAAATACAACTTATGATACTATAAAACTATTGTTGACCAAGAGAGAAACTTCTTGTTAACTCTAGTCATACCTTGTCTGGAAAATATATAAATATAAAAAATAATACATATAATAAAATATGATAAACAAACAAACTTATAAGATTATGTTAAAACAAGTATATTATTAAAGTGTCAAGTGTATATCAATAGAGAAAAGATGTGCAAGAGTGTGTAACGGTAAGTGTCTGAGTCAGTGGGGGTCCAGGCTTTATTGATGAACCAGAGTGCAGATGGGAAGAAACTGTTCTTGTGGCGTGAGGTCTTGGTCCTGATGGACCGCAGCCTCCTGACAAAGGGAAGGGACTCAAACTGTTTGTGTCCAGGGTGAGAGGGGTTGGCTACAATCTTTCTTGCCCGCCTGAGGGCCTAAAGGCCAACAAGTCGTGGAGGGACGGCAGATTGCAGCGAATGATGCGCGTACCAAACGCTGATGGAGGAGCAGAGGATGGACTCAACGATGGCTGTGTAGAAGTGCACCATCATTATCTTTGGCAGGTTGAACTTCTTCAGCTGCCTCAGGAAGTACATCCTCTGCTGAGCCTTCCTGGTGATGGAGCTGATGTTCAGCTCCCACATGAGGTCCTGGGTTATGGTGGCGCCTAGGAAGTGGTAGGACTCCACAGCGTCTACGAGGGAGTCGCACAGGGTGATAGGGGCAGGTGGGGCTATGTTCTTCCTGAAATCCATAACCATCTCCACGTCGTTTAGACAATTACAATGCCAGTACCAATACCAGTAGCTACCCTTAAAGTGATACCAACACCAATAGAGTACTTCATTCAATTAGTTAATGGAAGCTTTGTGACTGTACTAGCTAGCTAATCGCCGCCACACTTCAAGCCTTTATACAGCGGTTACTGCTGGTAACGCCAACCCCTAATTCCCAGTGGTGGGACGGCGGTGTTGCAAAAGTGTAACGCCCACCCTCCGCTAAACACTGTTATCTCTGTCAGCACTGTTACCATTGTTAGCACAGTTCACGCTGTTTGCACCGTTAGTTGCTAGCACTGTTAGCTGTTAACCGCTGGCTCAGACATCTCCGTGTCCAGAGCTGTGTGCAGGCATGCAATCCCGGCTTACAGATGGGCACGAAACGGATAGATTGCAGGTATTGTTTGATTTCCAATGAGTTCAACATCTGTGTGCCCAGAGATACCCTCCATAAACTTGAAATCGCAGCTTCATGTTATATACAGTGTTTACTATCCTGATATTGTGCCCTTTGTATTATTATAATCTAATGTTCTGGTACAAACTACATCTAAGTAGCAAAAGTTGATTTTGCTCACACTTAGTTAACTGATGCCATTTGGGACACCAATGTCCAAATTTCTAATATTTAATTTCTGCATGTTATTATGAAGAATATTTATGACATTATGTCTGTGTGTTGCAGTATAACAGCAACAGTTGCCAGTATTGGAGCAGCAGGAGTCCCTAATGCTGGGCTTGTCACCATGGTGATAGTCTTAACAGCTGTTGGATTACCTGCAAGTGATGTCACTCTGATAGTCGCTGTGGATTGGCTGCTGTAAGTTTATCTGTTGACTTTTTATCTTGACTGTTTCTCCCACCTTTCTTACTTTCCTACGATGCTGTGGATTGACTTTGAGGGGTGTGTTTCAGGGACCGGTTCCGTACTATGATCAACGTTCTTGGCGATGCTTACGGAGCCGGTATCGTCCAGAAACTATCCAAGCGGGAACTGGAGAGGATGGATCTGACATCGGATGCCGATGTCGCCAACCCCTTCGCTCTGGAAGCCACTTTGGATGACGAAGAGTGCGAGAACAAATCCTATGTAAATGGAGGTTTTACCGTCGACAAGACAGATGCGATCTCCTTTACTGAAACCTCTCAGTTTTAGGCTGTGGCTGGCTCCGAGGAGCAGAGAAAGTGCCATGCTGCTATGGATGTAAACGGAAAACCTTCCATCATGTATCAGCACCATGACGAGAGAGGAAAACTATCCAACCAGATCCATCCAAGCTCAGACATCAGCAATAGCAGCCTCCCTTAAGCTTATCCAAGATGATCACCCTTCATGTCGGACATTTACAACCACGACTAGATTAAAGTGCTTCCTTCTTTCACTCAAATTGTGCCAAGATTTTTAAAAGAAAGTCAGTTTTCTTCTGAATAAGAGTGAGTTCTTTCTTGCAAAGATGCACTCAAAAGAAGAGCTGTTTGTATGTGTGTTTTGGATTTATCTGGAGTGTATGTTTGTTTTTTGCAAAAAAAGGAAAATGTATAATTTAACACAAGTAAAAACAATAATCTGAATTTGAAACTCCATTCCCACTATTTGCTCTTTGATGAGACAATAATTCTCTAACATGTCTGAATGATATTTTTTGCGTGGCTGTTGTTGTAACTATATGTCCCATAATGCACTGCTTGTATGTCTATCTGTATATTTAAACTGTGCCAAACATATAAAGTGGTTTTTCACTGAGTTGCATGAAGCAATATGTTAAAGAAATGCTAATCGCTTGCTGCAGACTGATTTTTTTATGGAGACTCCACAGAGACAGGAGATGGTTAACCAAGACTTATGAAGTCATTGAACACTGTGAAACTTGAGTACATTTCTTCAGAACCAAATCTCTAACAGTCTTTGATTCATTGCAGAGTATAATGATCATTACATTACATTTGATACCCCGAATTATTCCTACTCAAACAAGATCATTTTAATTGTCACCTAATGGATTTATGTGTCAATAATCAGATAATCAGAGTGTGTCTTATTAACATAACTTTGCTACTATTCTTTCACTGTGGTGTTGGGTCAAAATATGTTCAAATGCTCTTAAACCAATGGCTAAGCTAAGACGCAGTAAATGGAATTTTGCATGTTATAGGTATTTCTGCTTGAATAAGACATGAAAACAGTACCATTAGTAAAGAACGGTTTGACATTTTGGTAAATATGTTTCTTTGCTTTCTTGCCAAGAGTGAGATGACAAGATCAGTTACAGGAAGTATTCTTTTGACACAAGTACAAGTGCAGCACCCTAACATAAAACTATGACAGTGTTTTCTTCGACTGATCAAATGCTGACCAGGATTGGTAAAGCCAGAGCATCAGTGCCATTTATAACACCTCAGCCAACCTTTGACATCATCTAGTTTGTAGCCATGCTATAAAGCTGCAAACTGGTACCGCACCTTGAAACATACCAGGCTGCGTGGAAAGGATGTGATGCATCAAAAACACTGAATGATAATTATATAAATATACAGGCACTTTGTGCAGTAATTAACTCGACATAGTTTGTCCTATCTGCATCTTTTCTTATCTTTGCCTGTCATGTCCAATTTTGAACGACTGAAAGACAGTACATGAGGTAATCTGCCCGCCATGACCAACTTAGCTATGTGCTATATTTGTGTAACTTTTGCAACTAGTTAGCATGAGCACAAAGCAAAAACGTTTGAGAGTTTGAGAGAGCTTGAGATGTTCTACTGAAGAGGTAGTGAGGACAAAAGACCTAACGTGTCAACAACAAAGATGTCAATATGAGAATGGTCCAGTTGCAGAAAAGGTTGGAAACCGCTGGCAGAACGAAAAACGTTGTGAGGAACTGCTGTAATAGCCAACTAGCAAAAAACATGGAATGTGATTGGCTAGCTGCACTGCTAGAACACTTTGGCCTCTGGGAAATTGTGATGGGCATGTTTTATTATTTACTAATATGACATAGACTTAATTAATTGACATGTTAATGATATTAATAATCATTAGTTGCAGCCTAAATGTAGCTATAGAGGTGAAGCAGTATAGCAGTGTCTAAAACAGGGGAGCAACACTAGCCAGGTTTCCATCTGAATGAATCGCAAATTTTTATCGAATTTCGAGGAAGAATGACTTGTTTTCATCCACTACCGTTATGCGATTATTAGAAGTTGGTTAATCTCGATTAACACCACGTGATGCTAATTCTCCAGTTTGACAACCAACTTCGAACCTCAAACTGTGAAAAACAATTTAGAAAACTCAATGGAAATATGACATTTCTGTTTGTTTTATGTGTTAATGTGAGGAAGGTTACATCGGGTCTGTTTTCATTGCACTTTGTCGCATTTTGCTTTTATCGATACACCAACTTTTTTTTGCAATATTTCAAGATTTTGTAGATATTTTCAGCAGTTTCACACAGGTTTTTTTGTGAAGAAACCCATGTGCATAAAATGGGTGGATGGAAACTTACTTAATGTGCTTAGTTAATTTTATGTCATTCTAGTAATTCCATTTTGATTGTTCTTGTAGGCAGTTGGACATGATGGCAACAATGTCAATTACTTAACCAGTAGTTTTTAAAATACTATACTATGTGTTGGATGGACAGACTGACCAATGGGCCTCGCCTTCCTTAGGATGTCAATGACAGTTAATCCTTTGACGTAAATGCCACAAATGATACAAATGTCTGTATTTTTATGTTATTGCTCCTTGGCTGCATTGTTATTTGTGATGCTCACTGCGTGTGATGCTTGTGGTCTAACTTTTTTTTTTATCAAATGTATATCTACGTCTGTAACTAAGCTATTTATTTGACTCCATGCAGCAGCTGAATACTATGATGCCTACACATGCACATACTGTAAGGTACTTAAGCTTGGAATAAGTAATGTAGAGTTGTTTGGTGGAGTCGACTTGAAAAACACAACCTGGGACCAACAGTGGTTTTGCTGAGGGTTTTCTGTTGTACTATTTATGTTATGTTCCCAGTGATGGTCCCATAATCAATGTTTCCAGCATGATAATCAATACCATTGTCACTAGGTTGAAGTAGCACTAATTATTTTCTTTGGTTTACTTTCCACCATACCAAGAGTCTGAGCCAAATACCTTTCACATGTCCTGGCAGGAAATACAGTAATCCATAGAAACACTCAACTCAATGACACTTATGTTATCCATCCCATGCTAATGGAGGTATTTTCTAGGACAACAGACTCAGCCCATCTACATTCTACACGCAACAATTAAGCGTCTTGGTAGTTCGTTGCTCAGATTGTGGTAGAAATGAAACTATCAGAGTAGTTTACAGAACAATATCACACTGTATGACGTGTTCCATTTGAAGTTAGAAGTTGAAATTTAGTTAGACATGCTAATGTTAGTGTTCTAGCTTGGGGGAAAATATCACCTTTGAAACATCTGTGAGATTTTCTTTACTTTTTGTAAAGTACTGCACACAAACCTGCAGCTAATGTGTCAATACTTTACCACATAAGTAGCTAGGCTGGCGTAGAAAATGAGCAACTGTATACACTACTCTGTGTCAGTGGTCCAGTTTGGAAAAATCACAGAAGAAAGACTTTCTTTGCCAGGTATTAAATACTGTTCCCAAAGCAACAGTCATGTGTCAATACTTTGCAATGTGAGCAGCTACCTAGCTTAGAAAGAATAGCAACTGCAAGTGCTACTCTATATCTTTCAGCTTTGTCTTTAAACCAGGTATCATGCAGTTGTTTTGATAGAGGTCACGGAGTGTTGAAAAAGCAAACTTTGTCTATTTTCAGAATAATAAAAATGTCCAATGAAGTAGCCTAATGGTGTTTACCGAGTGCTGTCAGGTTTACTGTGATTTCACATGACTACTGTCCTTGGGGATAACATATCTCGTGACTTGTTCATTTTATGGGCTTAATTTTTAGGAGACTTTTCCCCCAAGACGTCCAAATTCCAAATACATTGTGTCTGGATTAAAGTGAGTCTCAGTATCTCTGTTTTAGTCGTCCATACACTGCCAAAAGGGCCATATTTGAAATAAAACATGGGTCAATGAAGGTGCTTGTTTGTAATTTCATACTGATCAGAAATGATAAGCCCTCGCAACCAGGTTGTATTCTACATTTCAAAAGCACATTGGCATCAACCACCCCCCTTCACTCCAACTACTTGAGTACCTGCAGTATGTGAATCAACATGTACTACGTTATGTGTAACTGTAAGCAAATAAAAGAAAGCTGCTAAATATTTGACTGGTTCTGTTGTTTTTATTTTTGGTATCTACTAACCATATCCACCATGATAAGTATGACATTGTTCTTAACCATTTAACACAATTTCTTTTTAAAAAGGAATATACTCTACATGTTGTGGGTAAACTGAGTTTTTCAGGTGGTTGAAACAAGTAATATTCTGCTAGTGTGGGAACATAATTCACAGTGCAGTTTTCTTCTGTTACATGTAAAGATATGCAAATGAGGCATTATCTTATCAAATATGTTCTATCTAAATAAATCTGAAAAAAAATAAAAAAATATGTATGAATGAAACTGGAAGGTTTGGAGTACGTAAGTGCTACTGAAGTGAAGATTTCTGGTTCAGAGTCTGAAACAGAGTTCAGATTTCGTAGGCTTGAAGTGTTTGCTGGTCCTGGCTTTATTGAGGGAAACAATAGTTTCTGGTGTTTCCTGCCAACGTTTTTTGTGATGATGGTAATGTTCTGGATGTTTCTGGATAATTCTGGACTCGGTAATGAAAGCATTGCACAGCCTGTTGGGTGTCTGGGTATTGGACCCAGTTACATTGCAGGTGTTTAACCTGAGAACCTGAAGACTGCTGCTGCACAGTGTGCAGTAGGTATGAATGGTTCATAGGGTAAGCAAGTCGGTAGTTAAAGGAGGGATGTGGTGAACTGTTCGTTGTTGTGCGGTGACAGGCAAGTTGTTAGCTTGGCCTGTTACCTTTCGGGAACATAAGCACTACAGCTCATGCCTTGGTTGGGTGAGCCGAGTTGTAGTTGGGTTGCCTCTTTGCGTTGTGCGTCTGCGGACGATTTGGTTGGCCAGTGAGCCTTTTCCAGAGGAACCTTTTGGATACTACGTCAGATTAGCGCTTATGGTACTTCGGTTCTGTGCTTTTTGGTCTTCGGGAATTATGGAAATTCCAGTTCTTTGTGTTCACCACTTGTTACCCTCCTATGAAAACTTGGTTCTCAATCATGTGCTGTACCATATCACTGTAATCTCTCTGGCCTTCCTTCCTTCTCTGCTCTCACTCTTAGATGCTTCTCCACATGTTGGAGTTGCAGAGTGGAGATTGATTGGTGGGCTGGGGGATGTACTATAACCAGTAATATGAAATCTGTAAATTTGAAATCTGTATGTAGTTGTCGGTATTCCTGGTGGGAACACCGTTTTTATGGAGGGGGGTGTGACGACCCCTCCCTTCCACTCAGTGGTGGGCCGTGCATTTTATACCTGGGCCTTCTCTGCTGTCCCACTACACTTGAGCCATCTCCTAATAAGCTCATTATGACGCCACAGCTACAGTTATTTGTTTCTATGGTGTAACAATACACATATTCGTATTAAACCGTTCGGTACGAGGCTTACCAACCGAACAATACGTTTGAATAATACTAGTGCATTTGGAAAATGCAGAAGCTTAAATTGTGGGAAATATAATGTTTTTGGTGGACTTCGCTCATGTAGGAGACAACGGACTGTGTGACCTCTGAACCTGGAACAATAACAAAAAACAGCTGAGACTGCGGCACTGCACGTGTCTTCAGGGAGGCTAAGCTAACTAGCTTAGCGGGGAAACAACAGCCCGAACGGATTTAATTGTCCGGACAATAACCCCCGCGCATGACGGGATGCTTCGTCATTAACGGATAATGCATATAGTCCAAATCAATGTAATTAACACAATGACAAGAACAAACTCACAAGAACCAGTCACATATGTTTATACGACAACAAAGCAACAAATCAATCCAGCAACACTGCAGTGCTAGAGCACGAGCAATTCATGCTATTCATAAAAACGACACGATAGACAAATGAACACAGTAGTAACGATACTGCAGAGGTAAAAACACAAAAGCAGTTCACTTACCACAGCTGCTGTTCACTTAAAGACAAAGTCCATCCTCCTTTCTTTGATAACAAAGAGTTTAAAACCGTTGTTCAGAACATCAGTGCGGGTCAGTTCCAGCCAGAGTCCTCCTGCGAACGTGTTCGTTGAGTTGTAGATCCACTCAGGTCTCTCCAAAAGTTTTCAAAAGCACGTAGCTTGCGGTGTCCTGTCGTGTAGCTGCCTTGGTTAGCGTAGCGTAGCTCCAAACAGCTCAGTTACAAATGAAAGGCATTCTTAGCCATAAAATGTGCAACGCTTCTCCAACGCTGTCAGCCAGAAATACCGTTTGTACAAATCCTTTTCCATGCTGGGTCAGGGCTGCTAGCTGTGGGGTTGGCCGACCCTTTGATACGATGTCCAGTTTTTCTGGAAATGTCCTTCTCCAGAAATCCGTTTCTCCTCCTTCAGCCATTGAGTGTTCAAAAAACAAAGCTAGGTAAAAAAATAAATAAACTACACCAAGCAAAACCCTAAAAAATTTATAATTTCTTCCATATCTTTCAATTTGAACTCTTACTCCTCCAACTAAGCACTGCTGGCAAGTTAGGTTTCGGTTCACAATAGTCACAACGTGCTCGCCCACTGACCAATCACAGCACACGCTGCACCTCACTGCAGCGCTGCACCTGAAAACTGAGTTTCCCGTTAATGCTGACCTACTTGTAGGCCAGCTAGCAGGCTCTGGCACGTCAAAGAATACGCCCAACATGTCAAGCTAAAGATCTGATTGGTTGAACACTATTGTAAGCCTGAAATTGTGTCAGCATCGGAAATACACGAGGGCAAAGGGCAAAACTGCCCCTAAGAAATATAATTTTGCCTCTGATATCACTAGGAGAGGGGCAAAAAATGCCCCCGAACTTTCTAAAAGAATAAATAAATGGAGTGCTTCTTAATCAGACCTGTGACTGCGAGACTGCGGTCAACTCAGCAGACACTTACATGTTAGTGCACCTATATGCTGACATTCACGGTAAACTCATTCAAACGGCACAGATCGGGAGCGAGCGAAGGACTTTGCAAAGTTAGCAGAAAGATTACCGTCAGATAACATCCGGTTTCTTTAGACGAACATCCGGTTTTCAGAATAAGATGCCAACAAAGTACACATATTGCATAATGGATATGAGATTAAATTATAAAACATGCTACCTGCATCTCGTGAGTTAAAGGGAAAATACACCTACATTGTGCATAAAGTGTCTTTATTCTTTGATTTGAGGGTTGCTGGAAATGAATAATACCTGACTGACAGTCAATTAAGATATTTTACTGAGCAAAAACTCTGAACTGAATTTGTACCTTCAAATGGCACATTTTTTTAATTTTTAAGGTGCTATAAAAATGTTTTTCTCAAAAATTCCATACAATGACTAATGCATATGTTCAGGACAAAAATGGGTAATATCACAATATTTGAGGTGCTACAAAAATATCTTTCTCAATAATTCCATACAATGACTGATGAATATGTAATCAAGGCATCGTTGACTTAATAATTGTTGATAGTTGTTTAAAAAATGTAATAATAACAATAACTGACAACAAAGAAATTGTTCAAAAAATCGAAGAAAACATTTTGAATCTGTAGACTACTGCCTAATAGTCTTATTATTGCCATTTGATGACAATTGCTCATATACTGTAAGCCTAATTAAGTATATTTATTATTTTGAACAAAGGTTAAATGTTATTTCACAAGTTTCAAAAAGTGCCCCCAACTCTTCTTTGAATGCCCCTGGATTTCAGTCAGTGGGGGCAAAAATTGCCCCCTAAAAAATATGTAAATTCCCTACCCTGAATTGTGTGATGATCAGATATGACCACTAGTCGGCGCTGTTTAGGGGGCTTGATGTGATGGAGATAAAGTAGCGGGAGAGTGTGATTTGACTTGGTGCGGTTCTGTGGAGTCTTGACTAAACTTATGAGGAAAAACCAAACGTGTTGGATTGATTCATTCCCTATCATACACCCACGACGCTTACACTATGACAATCAACAATATCGTCCCCATTTACTTTAATCTGCAAAGTCTACCTAGAGGGCCTCAGGCCTCTGTTCTTACCTAGAGACACAGAGGTGAAATGTGATTGGATGAAAGCTCTACTTAAAACAAGCTGCACTGGAAGCAGAGCTACTGAGGAAGACAGTAGCTGTGCAATGAGAAAATAAGATAATGGGAAAAATATTTTTATAAATTATAATACATGTAGTGTATTTAAGAAAAATTATGAAATTATAAAATAGCTATAACTTTGTGATTCTGTTTAGGCCAGCAGAGAAGGCCTTGAAGGCCCTGACGGCCCACCACTGCTTCCACTAGGGGTCTATGTCCTGTTTGTCTTTCTGTCTTTCAGGTTGTTGCTAATCAGCTGCCAACACACACCTGAGCCTGGTGGAGTGCCAGGTATATGGGGCCCAGGTCCTCCTCTTTGGCTGCTCTACTTTTTGGCTGACACGGCTGCTGCTTTGTTTTGAGTGTTTGTTTGGTTTGTTTAGTTTAGTTATTGGTACTTTAAATAAATGTCTATTTATTACTTTCCACTCATCTTGTCTCCCTTTTGTTACAGCCTTGGAGCCGGGTTGTGATATAGTTAGAGAAAACTATGTTTTAACCGAACGAAATTTGATGTTTCTATATGCAAATGAGGCATTATCTAATAGTAACTTATGAATTTAGGAGAAATCTACAGATGCAAATAGACAAAATAGTAAAATGAACACCTGAATGTGTGCAGTAGCCTGGGGTGTCTGCCCTTAGGACCGACCACACAACCCTCTTTAAGACTCTGGTTTATGCTTAAAATAGTTGATGTTTTTATCAGTTCTTAAAGTCATGATTATCTCAGTGTACCTGATATATTTTATGTGCATTTCAGGTGATTTGCCCCACATGTATAAAGTGTTGGTGCTAAACAGACAATCCGTCAATCACAGTGATTTTACACGGAGAATTGCATTGTGGAAGAAAATTGCTGCATGACATAGTTGAATCATTGTTACAGTAAATCGTCTGTTGAATAACTCAAAAGGGGCTAAATTTAACTGACCAGGGCACATGAATAAACCACACTAGCCCCTGCTAGTTCCAAACTGTCTGTAACTTACAGAATTAAGACTTTTGTTGAATCTGCACTGTCGCTGAGGCCTTTAGTTTGACTGCTTATTACACCAAAATAGAGTTCTGTTTCAGCAGCCATTCCGCAATAGATCACAATGTTCCTGGTCGAGCCAGTGTTTAATGCCTTACAGTCATGGTGAGCAGCTATTTCTCTGATATACAGCACTACTTCACACAGAGCTGCATCGTCATAGACACAGTTTGCTTTTAATGACCTTCTGGGGATTTACCTGAGGACTCGACAATGTCAGCTTGAAAGATTAACAGAATGGGAACGAAAGACTTCAACCTCACACTACTGGCTGGTGTTCAAACTGAGATATAACAATGAGTTTCAATTCTTGACGGTTTATTTTTACCTTAAACACAAAAACACATTCATGTGTGGACATGTAAATGTCAAAACCACATACACATATACACATACACACACATCAGGAGAGTCTTGACATCTGGACACTTAATTGACAAGGTGACTTTCCCTAAAGCAGAGGAAAAAGACAGACATCACACACGTTAGCAACAGTACAATTTTGGGCTTCTTTGGATGCTTTGGTGCTTCAGGTGGTCCTAATGTGTTATTTGCAGTACGGTGGGTGTGTGATTAAATTGTGAGTAGTTTCAAATTAAATATCTTGTTAAAAGTATAAGCTTTTGGAAAAAGAGATGATTTTTTTTCCCCTCATTGGATAGTTCACAGTATAGAGACAAAAGGAAGTGTTAACATGTTGCATTACATGGTATGTATCTTCAGCATGATGTCACAGGAGGGCAGCATTTTCTTCAAGTGAAAAGTGCAACCTGTAGAGACAGAGCAGGTCCACCTCACCTTTCCAGAGTCTGGCCAGGTCATTACGGTGGACCTGGAGAGATGGACCTCCTGGCCAAAACCTCATCTACCTCGGAGTGTGTGGCCCCCTAAAACACAATGAGTCATATTGTCTTTGTGGTATCGTTGATTTGTGATCTTGTTTGCTTTGCTAGCTGTTTATTAAAGTGTCAAACATATGCTAAAATTCCCAGGGATAAGTTTGCCCTCAAAGACACTTCAAAGGAGAAACTTGCAAATTTGGCTAAATATTTATTTTTTATTTTTTTAAAGGCAGATGTCTTATAAAGGCCAAGTAAAACACATAGGGGTGAAATGACCTGTACTACAATAGTTCACATGCTAAATTCCAGAACAACATCATCATGGGGGAAGTTCTGAGTTTGAATTAACATCAGATCAGAAAACAGAGGCTTCTTAATAAAATATGGGGGAAAAAGGGAAAGTGAAAAATTAAATAAAGGCATCTCTCTTACACAAGTGTGTCTCAAATAAAGGCCTGGTTTCTGCTGAAGCTGAGGTCAATTTCATTAAGGATTAAAAACAAGATAAAAATCTTTTCTTTTTATGGAGAACGAGATTGAAAAGCAATACTCTTTCAGATAACCACAAATGGCAACATCCCTCTGAAACAAGGTGTGGCCAGTTTACATGGTAACAAGTCTAACACCAGACTGAAACACATACTGATGACATGTTGTACTTACACAGGCAAGTCTCCGTACAGCTTTTGGTGTCGTAAGGAGTCCCCGAACACGCGCTTGTACCTCTTCCCATTCTCTGTGATCAGAGCTGGATTGAGACCTGAACATCATCACAATGGCTGTCATTTCATTTGGATATTTTGTGATTATATTCTCTACCTATGTAATGAGGTGCATGATTATACTATGAATGTGGAGATAAGGACCTGCTGTGCCTGGCCTGTTCCCTGTAAGAGCACCACAGCCCTGAAGGGTCAGGACCTTGGTGGTGGGCAAGGGGTTCATGTATCTCTGAAGAACTGGAGTCATCTTCTGATATCCCTCCAACCTACCAATGGAGGCAGAGAGGAGTTTCTTTTCACCATCACATTAATGCATCTGCTCCTCAGCAACTGATTCATATCACCCTCTACTTTTTGTCTCAATTGCAGTTATTAATGGCTCAATCTGTATTTTTTTTATAATTTATTCAATATATTTACAGATGATTGAAGAGTTTAAGTTACAGATACCAAATATACATATTTGTGTGTTTCTCAACTCATCATAATTCACATGTAGGCCTGTCTATATAAACATTATCACAGGTTCCCGTCCTGTATTTCGAAGTCCTCGGTTCCGCCTTTCAAGAATAGTTCAACTTGTTGGGAATTTTGCTTATCCTCTTTCTTTCCGAGAGTGAAAATGGACATGAATCTTATGTCTCCAGAGCTGAAGGCAGTATGTGTGTAGCCTAGCTTAGCATAAAGACTTAATACAGGGGGAAACAGTCAGCCACGTTCAACAGTACATCTTCTAATGCATCAGCAAGTGTCGCGTTGGAGAGAATGTCACAACAGTTTAACGCGGTGGCGCTATGGAAATCAGCTGAGATGTAGGAGCAATTCTTCAACTACGAATTGACGTTCATACATTTCAGTTCAAGTGTTGATTTTTTTTAAATGAGATATTTATTCAATGACCTTTAGACGTGTTGGTAGGTGTATTTCTAAACTTTTGACAGAGCCAGGCTAGCTGTTTCCCTCAGCATCCAGTCTTTATGCTAGGCTAGGCTAACCGCATTCTGACTCCAGCTCTGTACTCTGTACTCCATAACTTCCTGTGTAAGAAGCCAAAGTCAAAATAATATTAATGAAATAAATAAATTGTTCCGACCAAACCATTGGAGGAGGATTTCCGTCTGCCAGCTGGAGAATACCTCACTAAAACAGCAAAAAGATGGGTAAATGTTTTTGAGTCACAACAGAAGAGAAGAATAGAAACTCACAGCTTGTTACAGTCATGTCAACAGAGCAGTATAACAATAACATTAACTTTACAAGCTCTTACGGTCAATTGTGTGGGACCATAATCTATGTATAGTAGCAATATAAAAGCATGATATGTGGGTTTTTACCTTTGGATGAAGACCTGGTCAAAGGTGAAGAGGAGCTGGTGAAGAATGTAGAGCGCTGGGGCGAGGCAGAAGGATCGGCCACAGGAGAGTGATGACGCAGTGAGCAGGCCTGCAGGTCCAGCTGCTTCAGGATGTACACAACAAGAGGGTTGGACCATTTTATTGTTTATTCATATAGTCAATGTTCCGAACAGCAAATAGGTTTCCTGAAATGTCAGTGACTAGGTAAGTTAATAATTAGCAATGGAGACCACCAACCAATCCCCAAAAGTCCTCTCAGTCCACTGGTTTAAGACTCAACCCAACTGCCGAAACATCAGAATGGGAGGAAATTATAGGACGCTACAACTAAATCAGAAACTGTATGGAGGCCATATAACCTTTGAATGAAGAAATAACACCGATGAAAAACTCACTTTATAACCAATGCAACGCTCCCTTGGTCAATGCAATACATTCAGGGGTTTTGCTGTTCCCTTCTACTTGGTCTGATTTGATCTGTAGTTTAAGTGGCTAATTTCATTAGCAATTTAGCATAGTGTGCTAAATGATCTGTCTAAGTATTCTGGAACAGATCAGGTCAGTAGCTGATGGGAAAATCTAAACAATAGAGCGTGACATTTCACGAAAATCTCACTTTTTCAGTGTGTGTTCTCATTATGTGGGTATCTGGAGTGCCTACTAACCCACAAACTGTGAAATAAGACAACCCAGACAGTGTTTTGTGGGCTGCCTCGTATCAGAAAACATGTGATTCAACAGGACCATATTTTTCTCGCAAGCCAATCAGAGCAGACTGGGCTTTTTCAGGAGCGGGTTAAAGAGACTAATAAGGGCTGGGCGTTTCAGACAGAGAATGTCATGGTTCAAGTCAAAGGGCTAATAAATGTCTTAGTAATCCCTTGTTACAACTAACAGGTGCGTTCCAGAAGATAAACAGGTTCTCATAGTTGCTGACACCATGCTTTCATTACACGGCCACAGAGAGCTGCTTTTGGCTGGGTGACATGGAGGTCTAAGTGAGGTTTGTGCAATGTTTAAACATCCACCACATACACTCTGATTATGTTAATATTATTATATTATGCTTTTGGCCAATACTGGAGTCATTTTGTAACTGACTGCCAAACCTTCTCACCGGTGAAACACTACATTACATGGTAGAGGTGATATTTGTAATAGGTTAGACAAGTTAAGAGAACACTCAGTGCTGTAGAAATAACTTCTGTGCCGAGTCCTAGCCAGTTTAGCTCTTCTCTGCCATCTTGTGGCTGGAAATGACGGACACTTTTGAAAAATCGATTGTGAATTTTGAAACAGAGATGTGCCGTTTGTGCTCACAGGTTGGGAGGAGCTGCGTGTGTCCCAGTTGGCTGGGCCGGGAGCTGCAGAGTCCAGGCTGAGCCGGGCCAGACGCTGTGTGTCTCCAGCTCTCAGAGGGGACAGGGAATGTTTCCTGCTCCTCTTTATCACCGGCCTCTGGAAACAGAAGAGTGGATGCCTCAGACCTATCTTCAACTTAAACATAACATAAGGGCTGGGCTTTGTAGCTGCTTATGTTAGACCTTCTGCTAGAACCATAGCTGTAACATTTGAATCAAATGTTAATTTTGAGTTGCAAGTCAAGGAAGGTATCCAATCATGCTTTCTGCTGTCAAATATGTCTGTTCACAACTCAGCTGCCACGCTTTAAAGAAGAGACCACATCACACCTGTCCGAGCATCATCCTTGCATTGGCTTCTTGTACATCATGGAGTTACTTACTTGTGCTCTGACTGGCCCCAGGAACATATCTCATACAATTGTAGCCTGATTGTGGCCTTAGATCCTCTAAACCAGAAGTTTTCCAACTCTGAAAGAGCTGAGGGAGGTCCGCAGAGGGAGAGACGTGAGGCAAAGACACTGCGTTAGGTGAAGGGAAGTGTGCGACAGTGTTCAGAAAACAAGGGGAAGTTGTTGTAGTTTGACCCAATTATCACCACAGTTAGCAGGTGTCATATATGAACACAGTCTTAGATTCACTGTGACCTAACTTTCCAAGGATATCATTACTATGTCTGACGTCCATTGAGAAAAAGAGAACAATCAAAATCATAAAAAAAGGATCCTTATAGCTGCAGAAATTGTCTGAGAATCATCTGTTTTTTTTAGTGCTCTTCAGTATCAAAGTCATCCAGGGACAGTTGTCTGTAAGTCCATGGCTACACTGCAAACAGGAGCTGCTAATATTCAGCAAATATAGCGTAAAAAAGTGGGGATTATTCTTTTTTATTCTTTTATATATTGGATCTTGTGTTTTCTATCTGGTATCTGGAGAGCCACAGCTTTAGAACAAACTTTACAAAGGTGCACAATATTTTTCTCGCAAGCCGATCACAGCAGAATAGTCTTAAAGAGACAGGCGCTAAAATGGAGCGTTTCAGACTGAATACAGGTGAATAGAGGTATATTCAGACAGACAGTATGAGAAAATAATGTTTTTTCAACATTAAAGCATGTAAACATATTCAAGTGGAAAAATACAAGTATGAGCCTGATATGTTTAAAAAAGGCCACAGTCTGAATTCAAGGAAACTATAAAATACTGGAGTGGACTGGTATCATGTATGGGTCTGCTGCTGACAAAAACCTAATCTGGTTCAGTTAATGTGGTCACCTCAAATATTGTATGATGCAGTTTGAATTATCATGCATCATCTACATAAATGTTGAGCCATGTAATACAGTCTTTACCATGGGTACATTGGGGTAAATGTTGATCTCTGCATCAGCTGAGCACTCAATGATGGTCGTTTTGGTGGAAAACTCCAACCTTGGAGCAATACCCTGAAAAAAAGAGGAGAAGAAATATTTGTACCATAATCACATTTACCTGCAAAGATCACACATACTGTATAGACAGTCTTCGTCTTTCATATTTCCCTGCTACTGTGGCCAAGGAAATGTAATAATGTGCTTGTGATGTATCCATATGAACAGGCTCCACTTAATACCTTTAAGCCACGTGCTGGAAATAGACAGCATTATTGTACACTTTCAGGTAAAGTGTCAGAGGGCTGGACCTACTGGAAAGTGAGGAGCTCGGGTCATCAGAACCTCTCGATCCACTCCAGAGGACGAGGGAACCAGTTTGGGCTCTGGGAATAAGAAACGTCGAGCATCTTCTTCAAAGCAGGCCAGAGTGTCCGCCGCTGCAAACACAAACACACGTCTGTTACACCTCGTAACCCGGGCTGGAACCTGTTCGTTTAAGGTCAAAGTTCAAGTGTCTGCAGAGCTACATGTAGGTATATTTCTAACCAGTAGAACAAAGAAGTATGGATATAAAAACAAATAAGCTCACCTGGAGGAATCAGCTGCAGCAGTTCAACAGAGACCGTCTCATCTGACAAGAAAAGGTGTCAAGTGTCAGTATGAGGCTGAGGCTGGCCTCTTAAGAAGCAGAGAAAATAATCTGACATGGGATAATGTATGAAAAAGAAATAACAATTGGCAAAAGCCAGCACATCAGTTGATACAATATCTGCTACAGACAGTATAAATGTTTACAACCAAATATTAGTTTACTTACATTCAAGCATTACAGCGATGTCTCCAGGGTCAACTGCATGCCGGAAAATCTAGACAAAAACAAAATATTCATATTTAATTCTATAGCTTCCTTATTTTACAAACAATAGTAATGTTCTATATGTACAGGAGGTCTTATTGGTACGTACTGTACAGTCATGTTGAGTTTATTCATGGTATTAAATACATCTAACTTTTCACACATTTCATGTATTACACTTCAGCTAGTTTTCCCATTCAGAGTACACACTCCTCTCAGAAGTAAGACTTACCTTTTCAAAGGTCATCCTCTCATGAAACAGCAGAGGAAAGACAGCAGGGAGACATTCCGACTGACAGTACTGACCCATGAAGCACATGCTGAGGTAGATATCATCCTTGGCTGGCAGATGGACTCCAGGACAAGAAACCTGAGAGCAGTGGAGGGACAGAGTGTGATTAAACAGGGTTATAAGTCATATGTGCACATGTCCTGAGCCATTTTTACTGACTGCTAAGAGTGATCAATATATTACTGAATATATCACTTCTGACTGAGCTGGACTAGCGTTGTCTCTAGTTCACCCTTTATTCAAATATTTATTTCTGCTTCTCCTTTATTTCTGTCTTCTTATGTATGGAAGGTTTTAAGGGATGGAATAAATTGTATAAATACATAACTAAATATACAAGCAAATGCTTAAATAACAGAAGAAAACCGAACGATAACATAATTTAATGGTTAATTGTCATCGTAAACTAAATTAAATTAAATTGAGACATCAAATATGTCAATTTTACATTTTTTTGTGTATTTATTCATTTATATATATATATATATATATATATATATATATATATATATATACTTGTGTATTTACACATATATATATATATACATTTGTGCATTTATTTAATCGTATTCCTTTTATTAATGAAATAGTTTATTTATATTTGTTTATTTACACATATATCTGTCTATTCATCATTTAATTAATTTCTTTTTTATTTCTATATAACTTGTGTCTACATGGATCATCAAGTGGTGAGGATGATGATGATGACGTGCGTGACACGAACAGATTCTCATTCACTGCCATTCAAACTAAAGCTTGAATCCCCTTTTCAGCTTACAGATCCCCCCACAACTAAAACAGCGTGCCCATGTAACATATCATCACATGTAACATATCATCACATGTAACATATCATCACATGTAACATATCATCACGCAGCTATTCCTGCTGTCACAGAGGGTACAGATCTAAGAGCGACAAGTTACACTGTTTGGACTTTTTTCATTTTTGGTTGAGATGAGGGCTGTAACTTTCTACATTGTGCATATTTTCCTCAGGCTCTGCAACTCACACAGGTGTGTTTATGTTCTCTGATATGCATTGAAGCACTGTCTTCCACCTGGAGCAGTTTCTACTTTAAATCAATATTGACAAAAACAATCTGATGCATCTTCCCCAGCTGGCCACCATTGAATGATGATGTCAGGTCAAATGTAACTTGATATCACAAACACATTTAATACATATAATGCATATTTCTGAGACTGTAATTTAAGGGCATTTTAAACAATAATCCCATATAGTCTGTTCAGTCCTGCAGGCAGCTATTGGAAGAAGTAGATTTACTCAAAAGAGTAAAAGTAGCAATACCACTATTTACTAAACCAAATACTAAAACTACATATCAAAATAAAAGTCCTGCATTGTAACATGTATGGAATAGAAAAATACACTGAAGTATTTAAGGACTCCTTCTAGAAATCTCTCCCTTCAGATGTAAACATGTAATGTACAGTATATATGTATATATATACCTAGATGATAGATAGACAGATATAAAAACTATCCAGATATTATGTCGACCTGATTGGTGGTGAGTCAGAGAATAGGTGAGCCGACGATTGAATTGAATTGATTAAACGTACAATATATTTGGTGCGTTCATTTACAAGCCGAATTAGCGCTTCATACAGCATCGTTAAATACGACCTATAGGTCGTAAATACGAAAGTAACAAGATTGTAATCCTGTAACGTTAGAGTAACTAGTTACATCCAGAGGACAGGTGAAGAGAGGATGAAGAAAACGATCTCTTACCGCTCGGAACTTCAACTCAACCAACACTTTCAGTGCTTTTCGGGCCATTGGACGGAGGATGAGCTCCAGCGTTATCTGAATACAGCGGACTCTTCTCCGGCTGTAGCGCTGCCATATACTGTTACCATGGATACTACTACTTCCGGGGTTCATTGCTAGCGCAACCATGGGTATCACTTCCATTCCATTGGACTTTATATGTATTCAACATTACAAAGCACTTTATGGTCCATGGTTCACCGGAAGATGTGTCTCACACACAGTGAACCGGTGCGGCCCCTCAGGTCCTCTGAGTCCGCTGCAGCTGGAGCAGTCTGCCTGATGATGCGACAGCTCATCGAACTGTTTGGACGTACATTTAATGAGCCAGGTCTTTGATTAAGAACCATGGACCTGCTTTTGTGACGCACTTTGAGCTGCATCGACCTATGACAGGTGCTACACCAACAGTTTGACTGATAGAGGATCTGTCCCGAACATTTCACATTGGCGTGTGTTCTACTGCTGCCTTTGTTCTTCATTCATTCTTCACATGGTTCCACGAGATTTGTTGTTTCCACCAAAGCTGTGGCACTGCAATGTGAATACATTTGAACATTTTCATCAGGCGAGCCTTCATTTCATTGTAGCTTTTAATTTCATGTCAAACATCTCCCCATATCTGTCACTGTTCAATGTATTCTGATGGCATACAAGGCAGCATCATGTAGCTGGTTCTGTTGCTCTACTTGTATGCAGGGCCAGATTAGCCCACTCTGGAGCCCCTAATGTCCTCTCTGTGCATGCATCACGTCATAATTATTAAATCCTTTTAAATTATGCAACATGTAAGCACTACATATATACACTGAAATAATAAAGGCCTTACAACAGCGCCTCCAGACCAAGTCATAATGCAGGTGTTGCCTTAAAGGAGCAGTGTGCAGGATTTAGTGGCATCTAGTGGTGAGGTTGCAGAGATTCTTCTACAACACTCTCGACTCATCACATTTCATAAAGTCAGAATGTATACTACTGGTTCACCCGGTGCCTTCTGGTCAGCACCGGGTCTACCTCAGAGTCTCTTTTGATCCTGTGCAGGTTGTGCGACTGTACTCTCAAAAATCCCAGAATATTCCCAGAATTCCAGGGCCGGTGACAATGGTCATGTGTTGACTTTGGTTTGCTTTAAATCTTTTCGTTAAAAATGAAAAAACTAAACGATTGATTTATAAATTATTTTCTGTAATGATAACTGTATATTCAGCCAAAAAAACATGCAAAACTGAAATGTCCATTAGCTGTTCAACTCAATTTTCACCCATTACAGGAGGCACAAAGTAAAACTAAATAAATAGCTGGTTTAAAAAAAAAAAAAAAAAAAGCATTTTGAAATTTCAACGAAACAGATGCTTTGTTAACAGAAACATCCCTCTTGGGAGCATAGCCTCAGCGTCAATATAACCACACGTTGTGAACTTTGTTTGAAGTTGTCCATTTGAACTACGTTGAGGTTCTTTTCTCAGTCTGGTCTGGTGTGTCGGGGTCAGAGTCTGAATCTTCCTCTTCTTTTGCCTGAACAGTTGTTCCGTCCTGGCTGACGGCCACCGCTCCTTTCCTCTGAGGCAGGACGGTGAAGAAGGCCTCCTGCCAGCTGCTTTTCTCCAGGTAAGCCAGGACGATCTCAAACACTGACGGAGGGACCAAAGCAATACAGGCGGTGGGAGATGGAGAGTCAAAGAACACAGAACAGACATAATCAAGATGGGTCATTTGATCCTTTGCCCCCTCAGTTACAGCAGCATACAGTTATTGTTGCGATCAGCTCAACTGGACCAATGGAATCACTGTTGTGGTGCATTTGAAGATGTGTGTTGATTAATCTTGTAGCCTCCAGCTGTGCCACCTTCATCAGACAACGTTTACAGATTGCCTCATTGACGTTATCAGGTTCTCTATTAACATTGGGTTTTAAATCCAAAATATTGCCAAATAGGCACTTTTAGATTTTTCTCTGACACTAAGTCCTCCGCCATCGTCTTGTCGGTCATCTCTTCTTACTCTCGTCACATGACAAGTGAAATCTGACTCCTGCTACTGCGCTGCAAAGAAACTTTCAGTGGATAATTGTAGCGTCCGTCATCCGACTAAGTATTGATAACATGCTTAGTATTTTATAAATTTACATGGTTTATTATTTGATCAATGTAGGTGCTGATACGCAAAAATGAACTAGATGTCTTTTATTTCTATTAAAAAAGCCAAACAAAGGTAGGGGGGTGGGCAAGTGATGTAATCGGTGTATGCCCGAACACCAAAGCACTGTAACCTTGTGTAACAGAGATTTCATGTCTTCAGCTGAGGTCCCAGGTGACCTTACCATGGTTGACTGCCAGAACCTTCCGACTGTTCATCTTGACAAAATTGCTCAGAGGAAGCTGAGCGTGATCGATCCCCAGCTCCTTCGCCCTCTCAAACGTGATCCCCTGCAAACAAAACCCAGACAGGAAATCAGCAAGCAGGAACTACCAGCAGCAGTGCATTGTAGCCGTGAAGCCAGACAGACCTTGTGGTGGTTGTGGTCCACCAGGCCTCCTATCACATAGGCCTTTTTGTGGTCCAGCTCTTCCAGCACGTTGGGAGAGTCTGACGTCAGGTACACCAACTCCTCCTGTGCCACAACTTCACTGTAGTGCTCCGTTTTAATGGTGATGTCCTGCACAGAACAGCAGCATGCACATATACTGTACACACAGTTATGAACACTGTAGCATGAGAAATAGTATCTTTGGAATAAAGTAAGACCATATCTCTGGTTCTGCTGCATCCAGTGTGATCTCTTTTCTTTTTAATTCTCCATCACGAGTTAGACTATGCTTAATAGGTGGAGTACTCTTAAAAATCAAGGGGGGTGAGCTGACTGACAATTACACACAGTGACATAGTAAACGAAAACTCACACACAGCTGGCTTGAAAAAAAGATATAATAAAAATAATCGGTACTTACCTTCCAGTTGACCCATCCTTTGTCCTTCTCGTCCATGCTCTGTTTCAGCTGCCCCCCTAGGCTTGTCAGATAAAACTGTGGAGGTGAGAGGAATGGTTATACATCAGAGAGGAGTGTCTCTACTGTTTCATGTCAGTCAGCAGCCACTAACCTGCACTGGATGCAAGGCGCGTCTGTTCTCAGCATAGCACCGCTGGACCTGTCTGTGAAGCTTCCGGACATCCTGAAGACACGACCAGATTATGGATCAGGAGAGTCTGCACCTCAGCTCATATCGTATCGTAATAAACACATGGTGGCTTTCCCTCCACAGTGGTGGAGCTTTTTTACCTTGATGAGCATGAGGTTGTCGAAGCTGCAGTCCACCACCAGCCTCAGTGAGCTGGGCGTCACCTCTCTGCGTAGACGTTTCCTGGCGTTCTGGGCCTCTCCTCCCTCCTCCTCCTCCTCCTGATGATGATGATGATGGTCGTGCCTCTGCTGCCGACGCTGCTTCTTCTTCTCCTTCCGTTTCTGCCTGCAGCAGAAAGCACAGGGCAGATACTGTTACGACACTACGTATACAATATTTGTTAGTTTGTTTTGATCGTTTCATTGGATTGAACACTAAATGAATATCCCTATACTCATACTGATAAGATAGGTATTCATATCCCTCACTGTATGCAGTGTGATGGGTAAATGAAAAACTGGGTCACAAAATAGGCAGCAGACAGCTGTTTCAGTTAATGTTATGATAGTGAACCACAGTAATAAAGTCTTTTATATAATCTGCTGGTTTGTTTAAAATGTGTCTAATCATCTTGTGCTCCTGCTCCCATCCTGTTAATGCTGTTATGTATTTTATGACATTTTAGATGTTCCCACATCTTACTTACTATCGTAACTGAGAGAACTGATAGCCGGGGCTACACAAATAAAGCATCAATATAAATAAAGCAGATTCATTAATATCTGCTGATTAATCTGTGTGCTTCATTGAGCATAAAAACTTCCATAAGGCCTTAAGTACAACTGTTTTGTAAGGTCAGATTAGACACATTAGGTTAGCATTAGGTGAGGCAGCAATAGGACCAACATGAAACTCTCTATGTTTTATACCAGAGCGAGAGAGGCCGGATGAGTTAAATACAAACCTCTGTACTGACTGTGGACTTATGTTGTCTACACAGTTTGTTCCTCAGGAGAATTAGTGGCACGTTGATGGAAATATCTACTACAAAGCAACACAATAACCCGAACTCATGACACAAAATAAATAACACTTTAAACTTTTGATTAAAAAAGGACTAACAGCATGTCATTCCAATAGACAACCTCTGTAGTTGAACGCATTAATGAGGCAGCAGTTCAATGAGTACGACCCTGAGCCTTCCACTTAGCACTTACTGTATTCATATTAGCTTGTTGCACTTATTGTATTCGTATTAGCTTGTTGCACTTA